AAGAAAAGAAAAGCCCACAGAGAAATTCTTATTCACTTCTAAATGAAAACAGCAATGTGATAAATCACCAAATCATTAGTGGCATTCTAATAGTTCTTGAAATTCTTTAAGTAGAGGTTGCTAAACTGAATTTTGAACTAGACATCAAAGCTGGCAAATATACAGACACCATACAGGAAAGAAGGCAACAAAGCTGTCAAATATTCAAACATTATGCAGAAATAAGTGCACAAAATAATGTTTTGGCCAACTTTGATGCACTGTTACACAATGCTTTAAAATAGCACAATCATTTTTACTCTCTTACATTATGTACTACAGGTAACATGGACATTGAAAAACTAGCAAGTGATTCAATTCCATGTGATATAAAAGCCACTGAAAATACTAATGTGTGAAAATGAAAATTTCACACATAAAAAACAGAATTATTACTGTTAATGTAAACTGATAATGCTTTTTTGAAAGCAACCTGCTGCTTTACCAAACAAAGCCACTTGGTTAATTTTAAGAAAATAAAAATATGCTTTGGAAGTTATGGGGCAAACGTCACCAAAATTGTGCATGAAACCAGAATAATTACCGTAAATGAAAACCAATCATGCCAATTAAAGAAAGAAACCTGCCTCTTTACCAAACAAAGCCACTCAGTAAATTTAAAGTAAAACTAAAATATGGTTTGGAAGTTATGGAGCGATGGTCATGTGTCAGACAGTGAGGGAGACAACGACATGGACAAACGGACCAATTAGAACATATACAGACACTGTAAGTGTCTGTATATAAAAACTGTATATTAAGCTTAGCTTTAAGGATACTGTAAGCCTTTGCCCAAAACTCCTTATTTACTGCCTAACATACATTCTTTTGGATAATAGATAAATCTTCAGTGTTCAGTGACTAAATTAACATTTACATGCATGTTATCATATGATGATGCCATAATTGCAATTTTGGGGTAAAAATTGAAACATTGGTTTCTCAAATTTCTCCTTTACATGAGCACCCCCAAACACCATATCAAAACCAATTTAATAACACCCTTTAGTGCTCCAAAACCCTGACAACAATTTTTCTTAAAAGCCTTAGTTCAGGTTTTATAGTTGATAAAGCAAAATAATGCCTTTGTTCAATGAAAATCTGTAATTAGGGGATCATAACTCCATTACGAAAACAAATAAACCAAAATGACAGCATGGGATTATAGATCGTACACTTGTGGTCAAGTCTGCCAATTTTCGAGATAAAATTTTGTTCAGGGATGAAATTATGCCCCAGAACCAATGCTATCTCACCTCAAAATAGAAAGGTGTTTAATTAAAGCTTTCAGTTGCCTATGCTTATACATTGCAAAGAGAAATATAAATGCTAATAATTTATATTTTTGAGGGGATTTTTATTGTTTTAAATTAGCACAAAGATAGATGCATTATTGAATAATGAGATGCAGAAAAAAAACTCATTTTTTGGAATCTATGATAGCAAAGGCTTACAATACCCTTGACATAATAGCATAATCTCACACACAAAACTCAAAACTTGCCTCACACATAAAACTCAGATATTCAAACAAAGATTTCCTACTCTGATGAATTTCTCATTTGTTCTGTTTGCTTAACTACAGGATATTATCCTCACTCACCTCTGCTGCCCGTGGGAGTCTTAGTCTTGCAGTTAGGAGAAGCATGCCGCTCAATGCTGCCTTTCTTACCCAACAGAGGTGAGGATGGGGAAGTGTCCTCATCATGTGGTTCCAGTCTAAGGAAAGTAATCAACATCAATCAGAAATTACTTTTTCCTTTTATAAAATATTATAATTTGTTGTATCATGGTCATGGTACCCATGACCAAGTAAATTATACACAAAATTTATTCAAGTTAAAAAGAAATTCACTAATAAAATCAAACAAAATCAGACTTAATCAGTCGTCTTATTTGCGGGAGCGGGAGAAAGGGGGATGTCCACTACAACACATTTTCTTTTCATGGATTTTCAAGGATGAATATGAGTCTAAAATTTAAACTTTATAATACATAAAATTATAATTAGATGAACTTCAAAATACCTCTCAGGATTTTAACCTGGAGGAGCCAAGAGAAAGGCTTTCACTGCTTTTGTTTGAAATCTTGTAGGGAAAATCATAACTTTATTTAGAAAGCTGCTACTCAGTAAAACACACCCATTTCTAGAATTCGACCTTGAATGTGACATTATGATAATTCTCCTTGTGTCATGACTGTTCATCTTGAACTAATTTTATAAAACCATAACACTTTTTCATATCATCTTACAATGTGCTATGTTTTCAAGCATATTCACTCACCTAATAGGAAGATCTGGTACAGGACTTTTCAGATCACCAGGGTATGTAAATACAGTAGCCATAGGAGTGCTGTTTACAGCAGCACGGCTACATTTCTGCTTGTTTTGAGGACTCTGCCTGGAACTTGGAAACAACTTCTGAACCCCTTTCACTTTACCAGTCACCGATGTCCCTCCATGAGAACTGTCACTGTCTTCAGATAAACTTTCAGCTGTGGCTATTGGAATTGCCAGCACTGGTTTAGGCTTCATGCAAATTTTGCGACCAAAGTATTTGGTTGGCGATTTTCTGGGTGTGCTTTTGCTGGATTCATTTGCATTGGGGCTGGAGGTTTTCATCCCTCCCTTTATATTGTCTATTTCCACTGTTTCAATATCCTCAAAAGAGTTTGAAACAGTGTCACTTTCTAAGGAAATTTGTTCTTCAAAAGCTGCTGCTAATTCAGCTTCAATGTCCTGTTCTTCACCTTCTTCTGAATGTTCTCGGTGAATTTCTTGGTGCGGGTTCCCTTTTGTATTAATAATAGCTGTTGCTGGATTTTTACTAATCTTTTCATTTTTTCCATTACTTTTAACTGTTAATTCATTTCCATTTGCACTTTCTGCCCTTTTCAATTTTTCATCATCTGGAAGATTTGTTTGTGACGGTCCAAGCTGCTCTTTACTGTGTTTTTCTGACAAAGCACTACTTGGTGCAGGAACAGTGTATCGTTTCCTGCCCAAAGAAGGACTGTGTGAGAAACCCGGTCTTCCTGGTGGCCTCTTCTCTGGTTTGGTGTAAAATGGAACCGGGTGGCTAAAATATGAACACTTTGGAATTGCACCAGATGCCTTGCATGCCTCCCGAGCATGGCTGTGTTCATCACCCCCCTTTCCAGATCCTGTTTGACCGTCCCTACTGTCCTGCCAGGCATTATGAAGATGGCCATTACTCATTTTCTTCAAACTTGGAGAGCAAACTGAACTGGCCTTGTTTGTTTTACTGTTTGGCACATTGATCTGATCTACATCCATACTGAAGTGAACTTGGCTTTTCGCAGACCTTGGTGTTGGTGGTGTGGATTGTGAAGACTTGGGGGACATGAGAGGGGAACTGTGCATAGTTTCCATGAAATCTGGGTTCTGAACTCTTAGATTAGTTCTTTTCTTAAGACTGCCTCTCAGTGGTGAAGGACTCTTGTTCAACTGCATTTCACCTGATACTTGTAGGTTGTTTGGTTTTTTAATTTTCTGAAATGAGAGACTTGATAACTGAAATTTTCAGTTAGATAGATAATCACAAGTGCTATTATTATAATAGTGACTCTGACTTCAACACACTGTTAGACTTATTTCCAGCAAGTTTTAGTCAATAGGGTGCAACACTTTTGTTAAAGAAGCAAAGGGCAGTTTTTGAATTTGAAAACCTTTCAAGCCATCATCCCAAATACATGTACACGTTCAGAATAAATGCAAGCAGTATAGGATGCATGTATAACAACTGAGTAACACTGACCTAAACTGATTTCAATGATAAGAATGCCAATCACTTACTTGTTGGTCAGTTTTGGAAGCATCACTCTGTCCCATCTGTCCCAGTCCATTTCCAAGATATATGGGTGTGGCCTGGGTATTGCCTGTACTGCCCGTTTGTAATGTTACCTGGGTGTGAGCTGGTGACCCCCCCTGAACTGTCACAGTTACAGGACACTGGCTAGGGCTCTCTGCAGCAAAGACATATAAGAAAAATGTTTAGTTATGTACTATGGTTAAGTCAGCTTTAGTACAACACATTAAACAAACCCTGAAAACCCTGAAAAGTAATTTATAACCATATGTATTAAATGTTCAAGTACTTGCTGTTTTATTCATGAGATGAGCCTAAATATATTTTAGCTATTTCATTTACCAGTAAACTTGACAATGATGGTGGGACAGACACAGATATTAAGGTGGACTGATACATCAAACAAAGACATTATTTTTCCTCTTTACTGATAAAATGAGAATTTTTCTGGATCAGATTGTAGTACTTAAAGTTGTGATTAAATAGGTTAAAGATGGTGTTCATAGCTGTACAACTGAGAGTCATCTGCTTGAAATCAAAAACACAATTTTCACCACATAAAAATGTTGCTGTTGCCTCATCAGAACAAATTAACAAATACACCCCATTGTACATTATTAGCAAATACACCCCATTGTACTTTAGATGTGACAAAATTATCTCACAACATGGCAGCATTAACTTATTTCTGCTTTATTTAAGCGGATAAGTAAATAGATCCTAACATACTGACCTGCTTTTAACAAGGAAATTCAAGAAGACAGACTAAATTGTGTCTGGGCAAGTTGGACAGAGTAAGTTTTAAAAATTTCAACAATATTTCAAGATTTCAACAATATTCACCTCTATTACAGGTTAATTTCAACTAAAATACAAATACAGTACACCTGGGGTGAATGATACAGAAATGCATAAAAACACCAATGTATAATAAAAAAATCAAATTATGCTACAGCAAACTTCTGAAATGAAACTAACCTTTCTTTGGTCTAACTATTTGTGGGTGTGCAATGGCTTGTGCTAAGGTTCGTACTGCCCCATGCTTGGGGTCTCTGAATTGTAAACGACTGCTGAACTGAGAACGCAAGGTATGCTTCATAATTTGTTCCTGGTACTTAGGGGTCTTCTTTACTGTGTGGTCTAGGTCATAGAAACCTGCAAGCAATACATGCTAGTTTACTGTGAGTAAATATGTACTTGTCAACTGCTGTGACTCAATGGGAGGAAGAAACAAGCTAAATCATTTAAAGTATGGGGAACTAGAAAAGTACTCAAAGAGGACAGACCTTAGCCAAGTAATGATAAAATGTGGTAGTTGAGATCACAAACATTGCACAATGGGTCAAGACCACTGGTCTTGTCTCACGACACTGAAGAAATCCTTTAAAATTATTGGGTCCAGATGGTAATACGGATCACATTCACCATCAAAGTCGTATCACTTAGCCCATTTTTGGTTTATTCTAAAAAAATTAATCAAAATCCAACCGCAACTTTTTATTTTGAATTAGGCTGGTGACAAACAAACAGACAGAAAAATTGAGGTAAAAACATGACTTTCTTGGCAGAAGTTGATGCTTCTTAAATCTTAAAAAGCCTATAAAGTGAATTTTGTGACTGTTAACAAAACATCACTTAAATCTGCTTTCTTTGTGGCAGTACCTTGCTCCTTCTTTTGTGCCTCCACCATCATGTTAAACATGGCCGACAGTTCATCTGACCTGTACTCATGGACCTTCTTCTCCACCTCCTTGGGGTCCAGGTCCATCAGGCCAGATACTTCTTCAATCACCTGAAACAGAACAGATTTGCAAAATACCTATCTTGAGGATTATTATGTGACCTTCACAAACTAATATTCCTGAATTCCTCTTAGGCATCCCACGTTATGCACATGATGAATATGAATTCAGTCCTTTTAACATCTTCTGGCCAGTTAAATTTAACGATCCACTGTTTTAATTGATGACAGGTTCCTCCCCAGCAGCAAACCACCCCAGGTTTTGGTATGTTAATGGCAGTTGTTTTTTACCAGCATAGTAACTAATAATCAACCAACAATCACCTGTGTTCTTAACGTCCTATCCCTAGGTGGGGCCTGGTAAGGGTAAAATGGACAGGCGCCACTCCTGGTCACCCAGTGATGCACCTCTATCTCTATCATGGGCAGGCGATAATCAGGGTTAGGCTCTATTAGCTGGCGTAACAAACTTCTGCAATCTGAAGGTATAGTGGAATGTATTTGAACAGCAATGGTCAATTTTCAAATACAATATCTTTTACATAATCAAGTCAAGTATGGAGGAATAAATCCCCTCCTTTGTGACTACAATACATCTACTTTGGTACAAAACACATCAACTGATAATTTTTTACACTGAAGTTTTCTTTATCACCAGTTTTTTAAACCATTGTCAATTTCTCTGGGGTAAAACCAATGGGCAGGTACTTAACTTCCTTGCTGGCATTTCTTGCTCTTTAGACAGGTATGTTTGTATCTTACCTGGAGAAAGATGGGCCATTTCTTTATCATGTTGTAGACAAAGCCCCTTCTGTATTTGTTGTAAAAGCATCTGTCTACGTCGCTCATCATTAAATGGTGCTGTGAATGGAAGTTTTCCTACTAGCAGTGCATACATGTTGATTCCTCTGAAAAATAAGTTAACCATTGACAAATCATGCAGCAGTATCAATGTCACACCTAGAACATGATCAGTGTCTCATCAAACACACTAAGAATATTACACCTAACACATTCTACCACATTAATCATTGATTTTATAACATTTTAAACACATGCCACAGTTAAGATTAATGAAATATAGTTAAATATGTTTTTTTTAATGTGTACATTGTAAATGATCTCTGAAGAAATGTTTTTGTAAAATTTGAACCACTTTTTGAAAAAAAACATAAAGTTATCCTGTTCCTTACCCTTCTCCTTTCTGAACCTTTGATACAAAAGGTCAAGAAAGTTTACCAAATTTCAGAGAAACTTACAAGCTCCAAATGTCTATTTCTGGTCCATATGTTTTTCCAGTTGTGAATAATTCAGGTGCAGCATACTCTGGAGAGCCACAGTGAGTCTTCAGCATCTCTTCTGCAGTGAAGGAATTGCTTAGACCAAAATCTGGGAAAAAAGGATACAAATATTGAATAGAAATATTGAATAAATGAATAAATAAATAAAGTTTCACCAAAACAGCACTCCTCATTCTTTCTGATGTATTATCAAACTTTGTACTCAATGTCTGTGAGCACATCTTTTAAAGTTCAATAACTTCATTAAATGTTATCAACTGGACAATTCTAAGGACCACAGAACACACACTGAACATAGGAAGTTTCAGTGCCATGTGGTTAATTTAAACAGCAATTCACTAGGCCACAGATCAATATATACTTGTCCAATAATGACAGTTACTTTGTGGGTTTAAAGTAACATGCACTAGAGAAATCTGAAAAAAAAAAATCCAAATTGGCCTGTGTAAATAATATGTCTATACTTTTTCTACTTGTGAAACAGCCCATGAAATGATATAATTGCAGGCTACTTGAGCTGCCTTTACATTTCTTTTTGTTCAACACATTCAAACGTGCTGCAAATAGCCACCAATCAATCAAATGGGAAGATGGTTAAAAAAGAAATACAGGACATGACAGGCAAGGATAGTGGCAATAACCTTCAGGCATTTTTGGTTGCAAAAATACCCGCACTACTAACCCATTATTGTCCCTCAATTTTGAACAATTAGGTGTACATTATACGTATATGAACTTTAGGGCCTTATGACATGCATCCAACCCTTGAGACCTTTCATAACAAAACAGACATATCTTTGACTGATGTCAGCTGCATCTTGGTGTCATTGTGGAATGTCAAATGGTCAGCAATTAAAACCATTAGAAACTGAGTGTCATTTTCACCTTTCAGATGCATGATCACCAAATTTACACCCCCATGTCAAATTTAGATGTCATTCTTTCCAAGCCCTCACCATGTACCAGTATGTGTCAATGTATGGGCATCTAATGGAAAAGAAAAATGTCATAACACTTTAACTAGTCAAGTTATCAAAAATGCTAAGACCAAAGTGAAGGTACATGTACATATCAAGGCATTTTGGTCAAGTTGTCAACCAGACTACTACTACAGTATATCCAAACACATCACTGTCTTGGACACCAGCGCCACTGACCATTATATTGCATAGAGCATGGAATTAATGTCTTCATGGTGAGAAGGAACCACAGGTCACTGAACTCTTTTATTAGACTGACCAAAACATTCAAGGGAGGAAGTCTCTGCCTGTGGGTCAGTCAGTCAGGTGGGTCAGTCAGTCAGTTGGGCAGTTCAGTAGGACAGTCAGGGGGAGGACCACGCGGCAGATGGTCCACTTTTTATGGCATTATATATTGGCAGTCTTCTGACCATTTAACCCCTAGCCTTAATTGAGAGAGCAGTCAGTAGAGAATTATGTCCAAAATAGTTAGGTGTCTAGAGGGAATTTTTTTAAAAGGAAGTCAATGGCCAACCTACACAGGGCTGCCATTCATACACAAACTTTGGACTTGGTAATTGAAATAAATCTTTTCAGCCTGACTCAAAGATTTTAATTACCTCCAAAGATATATGCTGGGGCTTTCTCAGTCAATGTTTTTTTCCTCCCCATTTTTTTCAACCGAAAACATCTGAAACATCATGCTGCCTTCTTCAAATAAGCACATTTCCCCCTCAAGCCCCAATCAATCAAAACTGATATGACCAAGGGAACCAGCAAATATTCTAGCATCTCACATTTCTTTTAAAAGTGAAAGGCAGGCCTTTAGTCTGTTTTTCTTGTTGGTCATGGATGACCGTTTGCAGACTACCATTAAGGATAAAAAAGAATTCTTGCTGGACATGTTTTTCTTTTAGCTGTTTTCTCCTTATCAGTAAACTGGTTTTTCTTTTTATTCAAATACTTATAGCAGTCATATCCTGTATCATGATGGCCATGCTTTTGATCTGGTACCTCTGCAATGTCCACAGAATAAATCAAATAAATGCCTGCTGTTCTCCGAGCTTTGTAATTAAAGACTTTCAATGCAGAAAGCACGGACTATGGCTTGCAGTGAACTTCGCCTGACCCCTCCATTGGCTGCCTTCATTTCTCAAAGGTACAATTATTACAGCAGGGAAAAATTCATCTGACTATTATACCAAACATAAACACTGGCATAAATAACTCTTGTGTTGCCCACAAGATTGTCCGGAAAAGCATGGACAGCAGTTGTCACTTACTGAAATTGTCTTCTGAACTAGATCCAATCTAAACAGATTTTTATGTTTTATTTTTCATCCACGGTAAATTTAATAAGCATAGACCTACCTAAAGGTGGCAGCACAAACAAATTTAAATGAAAATTATCTAAGGCTCTATTCCCATAAATTTTAGATCGATCTATCCCCGTGGGGAGTCTCACTAGATTACTTTCAGATAATCCGACTTAAATGTCCGTCCCGCCTACTACATGCTGTAAGGGNATAAATTTTAGATCGATCTATCCCCGTGGGGAGTCTCACTAGATTACTTTCAGATAATCCGACTTAAATGTCCGTCCCGCCTACTACAAGCTGTAAGGGGTAATTAACTTTCGTGTCCGCCCGGCTGACAGCTATTTAGCGTGAACCCCCAGGGAGTTAGGTCGATCTAAAGTAGGTCGATCTAATCTATGGAAATGGGGTGTAAGATAGCCTAAAACAAGACTGCCTGCACTGCACAGGCCTTATAAATGGATTAGTTGTTTACTAGCACCACCCGCAGATTTTTTAGCACTAACACTTATATTAACCACCTAACCCACAAATTAACCAGCACTACCATAACATATGAATGTTAGTGCTAGGTATTGCTATGTTGGTACTAAATAACTGTACAGTGTGCTGGTTAATTCATAGGTTTGATGGTTAATATAGGCATTTGTGCTAAAATATCTGCAGGAAGTGTTATTAAACACCTAATCGGTTTATAAGGCCTGACTGCAGAGAATATTAGTTAGTCTGTGGATCATCTGTTCTGAATGTGGCCATTGACAAATTGCATGGAAAAAATCAGTCCACAATCATATGCCCCAAGTATTTTTCAATGGAAATTCATAGAATCCTGGTTCGTATTCCATGAAATATTTACTTCCCATAAACTTTTTACTGTATGCACAAAACAAATCAATGGCTGCGCACTTAGACATTGAATCAAGAACTTAACCATACTGTCACTATTGTGTGCTTCGGTAATTTACAGAGTTGGCAGTTGACTTCCAAAGAATGCAAAGTAATTATTACTGTGGAATTCAAAGCTTTAATTATTCTATCAGGATTTTGCTCATACTTGTATATATGTGCTTCGTAGTATAAGACTGATATGTATATCAGGGTGCAGACAAGCATGTGAATAATCTGCATGTTCACTGAACAAAAACCCATGTTATTTTCCTAAACAGGTATAAAAAGATGTAATAGTTTGTAATTGGTTTTGTGATCCATTTGACTTGAGAGTTTGATTTGCCTTGAGCTTTCTATAATATACCTCAGTAACACTAATGTTGAAGATCACACCTACTGTAGGACACCAGCAACTATTTTCCATAAAAAAAATTAAAGTTTTGAATTCTGAAATGAACACTGAAATATGTTATGTTAGGCACACACACACACCTTTTAAAATATTGTCATTTTGGAAGTCTAAGAGTCCTGCCATAGATACCTGTGTAAGGTATACAGTAGCAAGATATGGTAAACACCCTTGTGACAGATGCATTTGCAGATCTACAAGCTACTTCCTGACTACCCAGGAGATATTTGAAAAATAAAAATAAAAAACAAAAATCCCACAGCAACTGAAGAGAAGCAGCAAATATTTTGCAAATGTTGGTTTATCTATCAAGCCAAATACATATAAATTTACCAGAGAATTTTTTTGAAAAATGTTTTAAGGGAGTGACTGATGGATTGATGAAAAAAAAAAAAAAAAAAACAGAAAGGTGTATGGCCACAGGGAGCATTTTTCAACTTCACTTAACTTAAGCTTGGTGCACAAGAGCTGAAGAAACATTGCCAACAAGAAGATTGATATGATCTGATGATCTGCATCAATTTTACATTAAATTCTCAACTTTTAATAATGAGAAAAATTCAATATAAATCATAATCAACTGTTAAGCTTGCCCTATTAGTCACACTGTACCACAAGTAGAAACATTGGATCTTCTCAGTGTACTGTCCACCCAGACAGTAAATAAAAACTTGCAGCATACAGAGTTATTTCAAGGAGATTAAAAGAAGCTGTCCTGCATGTTGGTGTTAGCTGTAGCCACACTGTTAAATGGTTTCCATCCTTCTACCTCCCACTGTTCACACCACAGCACTGTCCCTACTCCAGTCACATTTATACCCGGACAAACTACCTCTCAGTACAAATATCTTTGAGGCCATTTAGAATGAGAAGAGCGGAGTGCTAGCTAGGCCACGACCTTAATATGGCGGACCTACATGAAAGGAAGACTGCTTAATCCTGTAATGGTATCTCTGCCCCTCACACGCCTCCCCACGCATTGTCCCTGCAGGGGCACAGTAATTTAATCTCGGCTCAATTCAACCAGTCGAAGGATAATGTGTGAGCAGCCGTACGCGTGTCAGAGGCAGAGAGACCGTTACAGGATTAATCGGTCTTCTTTTCATGTATGGAAATTTGTGGGCAAACGTTTTGTTACCAATTCGAAATGAAATGTTAATGCAGTGATCAATGGGAATTAAATCTCCGCCTACTCCTGAAACAGCTTTTAAGTCGGACTGTTCGAAATTCAGTTGGTGTTTATGTTTTAGTCTTGAAATGGTATCTCTAGAAATGCAAGAAATAGAGGCACCTGTGTCAACCATTGCCTTCAGAGAAAAATTTTCAAAGTGTATTAATACTAGATTATGATCGAGTGGGTTAGGTCGTTTCCTAGCTAGCACTCAGCTCTTCTCATTCTGAAAGGCCTCTCTATCTGCTTGAACTGAGCTGAATTTACTTAAATTAAAATCTGGTTGAACTCTGGTGTATCTTTCATATGCCATATTTGATTATGTATTTTCTCAACTTTAATCTC